ATGTAGTTACTCCTTTTTCACTTCTTTAAACATTGTCTCATTAAGTTTAGATACTGAAGTAGACATCCCATCTGTAAAGACTAGCTGTACCCAATATTTCATTGAAAAGGAACATAGTTAAATGAGCTTGTCTCGCATAGCCCTACCAATATAGCGAAGCTACAATCTATATAATTAATACGCTACAAGATAGTAGATGTGGCTCTAAATGTACTTTAGTTTACGATGACTTGATTAAAAAGTGGCATATTCTACAGAAATCAGTAGTTTAAATAGGAAAACTCTGCTGATAGCTCAATTTAACAACATCCATTTTGATTCCAAAATTTGTGACAACTTTACTATAGGGATGAAATTTCTAAGACTTTATGAAACATTTGGCTCTTAGGCATCTTTAAAAATTATAGTTATATATAGGTTATCACATTATAAAATTGGTTTGTTCTTATTTTAAAGTAATATATATAGAAAATGTATTTTTTCCTACAGTTACCTGACAAAGTGGCCACACTCATTTTTTTTTGCCGCACTCCAGTATTCAAACCAAACAACACAAAACAGTGTGCTTTTATTAGGCACGTAATGTGTACGCTTGAAAATAAGTTGGTAACACTTAAAGATACAACTACGATCAGCTGGTTCAGCGTTTCCCATTTTGTTTAACGCTTGGATTTAAACATGATGTATAGTGTTTGAAAGACTATTTATATGCTTTATTAACTGGAGGAAAAATATAATGTGTAACGCGAGTGTTAAGTGCCTTTGCTGCACTCCAGAAACTTTCCACACTCGCCTGTGGCTTGTGCGTAAACATTTCTCTCATGTGCAGCAAAGTGCCACTTTGCACACGAGTTACACGAATAACTATTAATATGCTATTCCAATGTTAAAGTTGGAAAAAATTCTGTTTTCTACTTTATATATAATTGCTGACATAGTTGATGGGTCATAACAGTTACTATAGCCATAGATTAAATATACTCTCTGAGTAAGGGAGTGACTTTAGTCTATGCTATAGCTCATAACAAGTCGTTTCATCTGTTTGACTTGGTAAAAGCATCGTTATTCTACAGAAATTAGTAATTTAGATCAGCGCAATCTGTCGGTGGCTCACATCAACTACAACCACAGCCACCTCTAATACATGTATTAGAGGTGGCTGTGCTACAACGGATTTGATTAAAAAACTGGCGACAACTTTAGCATGAGGATGGAATGTAGTCAAAGCTCCCGTGAAACAGATTAGTTTAAACAAGGCCAAGTTGTACAGCTGTGATATGCTCGTAACATATGCACCACTAACAATGGTGCATAGATTTAAACTTGTTTACACATATTAAACCGTTTCCAATTAAAAGTTTGTTTGATTTGTCCCATTCATTTCTATCACAAAAGTATAATTGAGCTTTAAAACAAGAATTTAAAACAAACAAATTACAGTACTGATTTACATACTACAAACTTCAGCTACTGTGTATATTAGGCAAAGTGTAAACCTCCATTTGGTGATTTAAAACTGGCCCTAAACAATCATGATTTTGTTGATAAGGCTCACAAACCCATCCTTCATTCATCTTTACCTTAAGTTTTATCCTAATTTGTTGGCGGTATCTATCTATTTGAGAAATGTTGTATACCTCAGATCTGAAACAATTTTAAGAGAACTCATAATATTATGTGTTATTCAAAAAGTCCTGTTATTTATCCCACAAACACATTTTCCAAAGTTTTTTTTATATTTTATTGATGCATAGAAGAAACTAGTATACATATAATTGATATTATGTTGAGGGATACTATCATTTTTAATAAATAAGTTAAATTATTAGTAACTAAAAATAATTATTATAACTATATAGTGAAACCACAGTACTAAGGGTGCAAAATATAATAAAAAGTGTAAAAAAAAAATCTTAAAAAAAGGCACCATTGATCAATTTTGTTCCTGGACTCTTAGCAAACATTATGAACAAAATATTTTACCCCTATTTTCTCTCAAATAGCACTTGGCAATCAGAAAATTAAATTTAATCAAGTTGACTATTTGTCTACTATATCATGGACATGGTTTAGTAGATAACAATCAGAATCAGAATCCATTTATTGTCATTTTAGCGAATTTCCCATATAGGGAATAAGCTATTACCGTAGTACTCATGGTAAGACCTGGACCCGGGACCGATTTTTTTTTCGTTTTGAGGTCCCTAGAGGCCAAAAATAGCATCCGTTCAAATTCATATATATATATATATATTTATATATATATATATTTATATATATATATTTATATATATTTATATATATATATATTTATATATATATATATTTATATATATATATATTTATATATATATATATTTATATATATATATATATTTATATATATATGTGGCCGTTAGCGCGATAACTCGAGCAAAAATGATCCGATTTTGATGAAATTTGGTACAAACGTGTAAACCTACGTTTATTCGAACGAGTTCGCGAACCAGCATGATCGGACCATGGGAACGGGGGTTTATGGGGGCTTTTATGGGGTAAAAATGGGTTTTTCCCATTTTTGACCCAAAAAACTGAAATTTTTGCAATTTCTTTCCAAACTATTTTGTAGAGCTTAAAAAAACAAATAATTTAGTATATTGAAGCATTATAATGCGCCTAATGGTTACAGAGAAAATTCAAAAACATTGTAAACTTAAAATTCCCATGTTATTCTTATGGAGGATAAGTGAACTGTTGTAGTTTGCTTATTTATTAACATATTTTGCCCAAATTTGTAAAATGTTTTTATTTCTTACTAACTATTAACATTTTACGTAAAAAAACACTTTAACCCTCCCTGTTGCAGCAAACCTATGTATGTGTTAAACTGATTTGATTTAAATAGGGAATAAATGTGATATTTTTAAGGAGACATTTTAGTGTAAATCCAATCAGGCAAATGGAAATTCGCTTAGTCTGCAGGTTTGCTGCGGCGGGGGTATTTCAACATTACATTGCTATAGACAACGTCAAAGAACATAAGAAATACAGTAATATGCAGTATAAAAAGAAATAGTACAATGTACTTGTCAGACTAACAGATATAACAGAGTAAAACATAACAAAGAAATAATTAACATTCAGCAATAAATTGATATAAACTACGAAAATTAACAATAAATCAACTACAACTACTCACCAAAGCATCACTAAATTAAAGCTCATAACAGATCAAATTAAAATTTGTATGAACAAAATTCATCAAGAGAATAAAAAGCTTTGCTTATAAACCAGTTTGACAGTTTCAATTTAAATTGTTGAATTTCGAGGTTTCTGATCTCTTGTGGCAATTTATCACTGTTATCATTGTTAATCAGTATTATTAATTATTCATTTGTCCACAAAAATCATTGAATTGTGGATATTTATAGGCATGCACTGTGGATGTGATGCTCCCTGGTGTGGATTAACGTCCGCACGAGTGAGTACTTGACTATCCGCAGTACTATCCTGATAATTAGACCAAAATGTGGTTCCGCTTCCACTCTAAACTGTAGGTCCCTTAGTTGCCATAAGCTGTATGGGCTATTAATTAACAGCTGTGTCTAAGGAACATGTCGGCCTTCGTTACTAACAAGACTACAAGATCGCACCACTCATCCTACACTCATCCTTCACTCATATTTGGGTTAAAACACGCACATAGTGGCGTCCCCATCTTAAATAATTGATTATTGATAATTGAATTGCTATTGATACAAACTATCTTCAAAGCAATCCTGTGTATAAACAATCATTAAAGCAATTCATTTGTATGCAAACAATCGTTGAAGGTTGCGCTGATCATATCATCTCTGAGTGATTCTAATAATTGACTTGATCAGTTTACGATTGTGATCATCTATTATAAGCTAAGCTCTAATCTAGTGAACTGATTGTGGCCAATCAGTTCAGTCAGTCAAGGGTCACTGATTTATCAGGTCACAGTCAGTCTGATTGATCTGTGGTCTTTGACTTTGCCAAGATCATTTCTCTGTCACATTAATCTTTATCGCTTTTCGCCTTTGGCTGTCTTATAAAAAGACTTCACCTTAGGAAGACAATTACAATTTACACCACACAACAAAATGTGTTTCCTATATATAACTATAATAACTCAACAGCTGAGGTTTACCAATAGTTATTTGTGTATTTGCTGCACACGAGAGCAATGGCTCGTGCGGAATGATCTCGAGTGCAGCAAAGGCCTTTTTCACTCGTGTTACACATTATATTTTTCCTACAGTCACTATAAAGCATATAAATAATTAGTCTTTCAAACACTATACAACACGTTTGAGGTTCAGCTGGCAACACAAATAGGTGCCCTAGAGAAAGTAGTACCCGTGATCCGTATCACTCCGCTATTTTTCCTCGGCAAGAAATGTGCTCCGCGTTTTGAGAATATAGTTCCGTATGTTTTTGTAATTTGAAGTGGTTTCCACGCCTAAAAAAATGCTTTAAAGGTATTTTCTTGTTTATTAAGATCGTAGGAATGTTTTAAAAACGTTTTAAAGAAAAGTCCAGAAAGTTCAGATATACCGAAATTATAAACACGAAATGACAGGTTAAATCGTAGTTATAATAGTCAATCAGCTGCTCATAGTACTATTATCTTTAAGTGTTGCCAACCTATTTCCAAGCGTACACGGATTACGTGCATAATAGAACCACGCTGTTTTGTGTTGTTTCGTTGGAATCCTGATGTGCGGCAAAGTATAAACCGTACGGCAAAGTATAAATATGCAGCAATTAGCAGCTTTCTGTACTATAAACAGTACGAGGAAGCCAACTTTGTCGGGTGACTGTAGGAAAAATATTAAACAGCTGCGCCATTTAAATTAAGTAAAAAATGCAGTAGGGGAATTCCCCCTTGAGCCGCATAAATTTTATGAACGGGTATACTGTAGTTGAAAAGTCAATAGATTGTGAATGTTGTCAATTAGAGGTATCAAATACATTATGTTTACTTTTTGTTTCAGTACCTCATCAAAAAAGGGCTGGCGTTTTTCCATAATGGAGTGTTGACTCCTACAAATAATCACATTAAAAAGGTAAGTCATGTAGTTTGTCAATCGTTTTTATAAATTAACTACTTACTATCACACTAGTTAAAGATGTGTAAAGGCCAGTCCAGACGCAAGGATTTCGCGTATGTTTTACCAGCGCAGGTAAAACATTGCAGTCAAGTCGTGAAAAAAATGTGTCCACACAGTACAGGTTTCAGCATTAATTGTTTATGTAATTTTGTGATAACTTTCAGGGTATGTGCACGTAATATCATGGAAGATGTGTTACCGTGGTAAATTTTTGCAGTGTGTGTTGCAAGAAAGCAAAGAAATAAGTCTGAGCGACGACGACGCTCACTATGGTCAAAACGTTGGCTACTAAAAAGACAAACATTTTTATAATCGTTTCTCTGTTCACGTTTGAATTTACTGCGTTGTATTTTTCAATAAGATTTTAAGCCTGATTCTTCTTCACTACCTTCCATAAACAAGGAATACAACACAACCTTCCTGTTGGTACAGTTCGATGAATTCGACAACAAACTCACAAGAACATTGGCGAAGATCTGCCATCGTAAAAAAAAAACTTATAGCTCTGACAGCACGTGAAGACAACACTGGAGACTGGAGTTTAAGCGTGAAGATGGTGTTTAAACGAATGACAGTGTTGAACGACTTGTCTTAAAACGTCAAAAGTATGCTCTCCTAAAATAGCTTTATCTCTCCGTCCGCACAGTTCTCAAAAATGCACAGTTTTACTATCCAAACGCAACGACTTGACTGCAACGTTTTACCTGCGCAGTTATATTGTACGAGAAATCCTTGCGTGTGGACCGGCCTTAACAAAATGTCACACTTTGGTAACATTGCTAACAATTTACAATTGCATGTATACAGAAAAACAAAGCGTGCTCTAGAAAATTGTTTTCAAACTATAATTAATTTACCCAAAATTACCATCCTTTTTACCAATGTAGCAGCTTTTGCTAAAACTCATTGAAAGTCATATTTGAAACAGGCATAGTTAAAATCTAGAAATGTATCTACTAAATGTTTAGTTTATCTTTTGGGTCACATGTCAGGCATAAAAAGTATCAAAATAAGCTATACTATCAAAACATGATCACGTGCCAAAAGCTGGCAGAAATGTTGCAACTTATCAAACTAGAACAGACACCCTGACTGTCTGGGCGTGTGCGAAGTGCAGACTTATAAAAACTTGATTGCAACAAAACTGTTAACATTGTAGAGTGATTTTACGCTCTAGTTATCTCTAAATTTAGTGTTTACTAATAAATCATTAGTAAGCATTTGGCTTGAATTGGTGAATTTGGGTTATATAATCTAATATTTATAGAGGGAACTAGTGTAGTCTGTATGGTAAAATTTAGGTCTAAGTCGACTTAACTTTTACAGTAAAACCCCTTATATCCCCCTACGTAGAACCGAGCTCCTGGCCGGATAAACCAACCTGTTAACACGATAATTTGTATCTAAACAACTTGTGATTGGTTGAAAGAAGTGTTTAAGCCTATTTTGGGAATCTAAATCTCAACTTGAGTAGTGAACTCGTTAAAAATGTAAATGAACAGGAAACAGATAAACCGTGTGAACGCTCAAATCATGGAGACTACGTTTACAACCGTGGAAAATAATGTTGGTATTGATTCCGAGAAGCGACCGGATAAACCGAGGACAGGTGATTCCGAGGCCGGATATTAGGGGTTATATGGTAGTGAATTTCCCTAAAGGATAGTAGTTTTTGTCATGAAAACCAAGGTTAGACCTATTTCCACACCCTACTGTAAGGGAGATTCTGTATTATTGGAAAGACGTAGGTCCTGGACCCTCCGTACGATTAGCAAATTTCCTTGTAGGGAAACAGCTGTTATCATAATCATTGTGGTAAGACCCAGGTCCAGGACCCTCTGTCGATTAGCGAATTTACTTGGAGGGAAACAGCTTTTATCATAATCATTGTGGTAAGACCTAGGTCCAAGACCCTCTGTACTATTAGCGAATTTCCTTGTAGAGAAACATCTGTTATCATAATCATTGTGGTAAGACCCAGGTCCAGGACCCTCTGTCGATTAGCGAATTTACTTGGAGGGAAACAGCTTTTATCATAATCATTGTGGTAAGACCTAGGTCCAAGACCCTCTGTACTATTAGCGAATTTCCTTGTAGAGAAACATCTGTTATCATAATCATTGTGGTAAGACCTAGGTCCAAGACCCTCTGTACTATTAGCGAATTTCCTTGTAGAGAAACATCTGTTATCATAATCATTGTGGTAAGACCCAGGTCCAGGACCCTCTGTCGATTAGCGAATTTACTTGGAGGGAAACAGCTTTTATCATAATCATTGTGGTAAGACCTAGGTCCAAGACCCTCTGTACTATTAGCGAATTTCCTTGTAGAGAAACATCTGTTATCATAATCATTGTGGTAAGACCCAGGTCCAGGACCCTCTGTCGATTAGCGAATTTACTTGGAGGGAAACAGCTTTTTTCATAATCATTGTAAGACCTAGGTCCAAGACCCTCTGTACTATTAGCGAATTTCCTTGTAGAGAAACATCTGTTATCATAATCATTGTGGTAAGAACCAGGTCCAGGACCCTCTGTACGATTACCAAATTTCCTTGTAGGGAAACAGCTGTTATCATAATCATTGTGGTAAGACCTAGGTCCAGGACCCTCTGTCGATTAGCGAATTTCCTTGTAGGGAAACAGCTGTTATCATAATCATTGTGGTAAGACCCAGGTCCAGGACCCTCTGTCGATTAGCGAATTTACTTGGAGGGAAACAGCTTTTATCATAATCATTGTGGTAAGACCTAGGTCCAAGACCCTCTGTACTATTAGCGAATTTCCTTGTAGAGAAACATCTGTTATCATAATCATTGTGGTAAGACCTAGGTCCAAGACCCTCTGTACTATTAGCGAATTTCCTTGTAGAGAAACATCTGTTATCATAATCATTGTGGTAAGACCCAGGTCCAGGACCCTCTGTACTATTAGCGAATTTCCTTGTAGAGAAACATCTGTTATCATAATCATTGTGGTAAGACCCAGGTCCAGGACCCTCTGTACTATTAGCAAATTTCCTCGTAGGAAAACAGCTTTTATCATAATCATTGTGGTAAGACCCAGGTCCAAGACCCTCCGTACTATTAGCAAATTTCCTTGTAGGAAAACAGCTTTTATCATAATCATTGTGGTAAGACCTAGGTCCAGATCCTCTTCATCTTCAATGAAATTTCTTATGGGGAAGAAGTTATTTTCATTTCCCTGATGAGTCATTGGACTAGAACCTCCTAAATGTTTAATATTAGGGTGCCCAGAAGCGAAAAACATTGTTTAAGGTCCTTATTATAAGTCCAATGTATGGTCAGGCAAAGCATTTGTTGGAGAAATTCAGTAGAAGAAGTATTAGTTGTGGAGGGTAGCGCAAAATAGAACTGATACATTATTAGAGGAGCCTTTGGGAGCAGGTCATAAAAATCTCAAATTTATGATGTAATGAAATTATTTTTTCATCTGTGTTTGTCTTAACTTGCAACAAACAAAATTAACTAGACTGCAATATATTTAATTTTATAAGCGTAAATTTCACATACTTTTTCCTAACACATCCTTAAAAACCCTTTACCTATATTGCTTGTATATTTGTTTGTAGAAGGGCCTGTTGACTATTTAGCCTCAATTTCACTTAGTCTTATCTTACTGGCTTTGCTTGACAGATGACTTTATTACTTGGCTCATGTGTATCCCTCAGTTGCCAGAGCTGTTACATTCCTCACATGTGAATGTAATTCTTGTTTTTCACTCTGCTAAATGCATGTTTGCAATTCTTTCGCAATATTAGAATTTGCCATTATGTAACGGAAAGTTAAGAGAAAAGTAAATCTACCATTTTGCTATGATTTTGGTCTAGCATGTACTCCTGGTACAAACAGTGGTTATATGAGGATTGGAAACATCCTGCAGATAGACGCAAATGGTCCATATGCCAAATACGATGAATTAGAGAAAGCACCAGATCAAGATTGGCAAAGATGAATGGTCAGAGAGAACTAACCATATAAGAAGTGGGCTATCTTGTTACACTAATGGTTCTAAAAGGTTGACAGGATCAGGAGAAGGAGTATATTTCACCAGACCTATAGTATGATTCAGCAAGCCTTGGGAAATTAGCGACTTTGTTGCAATTTCAATTGTTCAATGCCTTTTCTTCTACACAATTGACAAGAGCCTTGACAGTAAGGCTGCACTAATGGCATTGGCAGGTCATATATTGCAAAAAATTATGAAATTGCCTTGGATACTTTATACCTGTGTTTTGCCTGTGGTCAGTTGGCCTGGAGATCGTTGGTTAGCACACTAAACAAGATGTTGACACTCTTGTAGGAAATATGAGGAAGAAGATTAATAGCCATGCAATATTTCATTGACCTGTGCTAAATGCAGTTTATACACTTTAAAGGCAATAGGAGAAAGATTAAGGATAACATTAGTCTATCAGCTAAAACCCTGTGGTTTGCTTTGATCAAGGGACTAAGCAGACACCGCTGAGGGATTGCAAAAACAGTTTCTTAGCTTCTTTCTTAGAAAAATACCAGGTGCAGTAGAAGTGTTGCTCTTGTAAAAAAGTAAAAAGTTTAAATCTGGCTCAATTAAATTGATCATTGCAATCACCGTTTACACAGGTGGTTTGAATGAATGTTTGAGAGGAACGTTTGAAAGTAATTATTACAGATTTTTCCGCTAGAAATTAATACAATCCTAATTATTAGTATTGGTAAATAGAAAAGTTGGAAAAGTTAATAAGTTGTACTTAAAATAAATATTTGTTACCTCTGTTACATCTTGATGTATGGGCAATAATGTAAATAACATTAAAAATAAAATTTCTTCTCATCAAATGTTCTAAAAATTTTCCCTGGAACGTTCTACATGAATTGATATTAATATTAAATTATTTTATTCGTCTGTGCAGTATTCTTTGAAATTTTGATTTTATGCTAATTGAATCTATGCTTT